ATTATATTATTTACTAAAAATATGTATCAAGCATTTATTAAAATATTATGAATATACTAAAACATTAACTAAGATGCAAGAGAAACTTCAATTTATAATGTAAGTCATTATAAATAAATTGTTTGTGTTATTTATTTTGTTCGTCCAACAATATACCACATATTTTTTTTTTTCTATTATAAATAAATTTGTTATTTCTATCACACCTACAAAAACCACACACAACGCAAAGCCAATCAATAAGGAATGGAATCAGAATAATGGTGTTGTCATTACCAAATTCCATTATTATAGTGATTCTATCTTGTCAGCCATAATAAATAATTAAAATAAAATATTATCACTCTTTTATTATTCATCAATACAATATTATTATAAAATTAATGGAGATTGTCTTGTGGACTTTTCACTGCAATAAGACCAAAGCAAGAATATGTAAAATGAAATGAAAGGCAATAATTATTAAATAAAAAAGAGTTTTATCCTTTCCAATAGTTGAGTATCATCAATCTCCATATAAAAGAGAAAATATATTAATAAGAATATAAAATAAAACATGGCCAATCTCCATATAAAAGAGAAAATATATTAATTAATAAGAATATAAAAAATATCAATAAAGGACTAAATAAGAAATTATTAAAGGACTAAATAATAAATTATTTTGAAAAAGATATCAATTTTTTATACTCCACACAAATTACAATAATATAAAATTTGAGAGCAAAAAAATATTCAAATATGAATCAAAAACTAAAAAGGAGGTAAACAAATATTTCGGGTGGATGTTAATTTAAATTAGTGTATGTTAAAATTATTTAACCCAAATATGTTAAAACTACTTTAGGTTAAATCAATTGATATATGGAAGGTTAGTAGCTCATTATTCACAAAATTATGCTAAATGTGAGTGTTCTTCATCTAAAAAATGGGTAAAAAGTATATTGATTGGTACTTTTATTAACACATGCAACATTCACATTTGAATAAAATATTTTTATTTGTTCAAAATCAAATGTGAGATTCATTTAATTGAATTTATATTAAATACTTAAAAAGTATTTCACGCTTTGCCTTCTTTATATAGGCATGTCGACGTGTTACATGAGTCGAGTTCCTCATGTTAGAACCCGTGCTCATTTAATAATGAGATGGCTTGGTTCGTTCAGTAAAACAAAAAAAAAAAATGTGAGCGCAAGTTAAAGTTATGTGAACTCAATTCAAAACTCATATAAAACCTAAATCAATACCCAAAACTCTAACCGAGTTGGCGACAAAAACGCTCGACTCATTTGATCGATAGTTAGTCTCGAACAGTTATTCGAGCTTAACACGTTTATGTATACGAGCAAGTCGAGCTGAAAGTTTCTCAAGTCAGACGGCACAACTTTGGGGAACAACTTAATTCGAATAACAATTCTACATCTTATAGCGTTGAATATAAAAAAAAAAA